TGTTTCACAGGGAGAGGACTTCAGCAAACATGGAGCGATGCTGCTCAGAGAAGAGGATTAAGCTCCAGGAGCGAGGCACGGATGGTACCTGGGGGTGACGTGTTTTTGTAGTGAACATTTCATTAGCTCCCACAAAGCTGTCTGGCTGCCGCCCGTTCATTAGCCACACACTCCCCAGCCCAATTGCCCGTGTAGCTCTGCAAGGGATCCCATCGCTTTATCTCAACGGTGCCGCATACAAAGCAGGAAAGCTCCAGATTTCAAGCTGGCCCCTCAGTAGGAGATATAATTAGGGAGTCTGGCCCATCAATATTTCACCGCGTCTCTGCTCCGTGAGGGAACGGGCTGTGGGATGCTTCTCTGTAAGCTCATGTGCTTCTCAAACTTACCTCCTCCTTGACAACTCTTTAGTTTAAACAAAGATTATTTTGGAACCGGAGCTGTCAAACAAAAAAAAAAAAAAAGGAAAAAAGCCACCAGCAGCTCCAGGAAGTTTTCTTGTTAAAATATGTTGGCTCGGCAGCACCATCTTCTGTTCTGCCCTTTAAACAGCCTGAGATGTCACACTAAAAATGGGCGCGAGTGCCTCGGTTAGCTCGGGGCAAAAAGAACAGTTTGAATAAGATTGAGTTAATGTTTTCCGTGCTGGGAGTCGAAGCCATAAAACAGATATAGCTCAACAGATTGGAAGCGTGAGCCCAGCTCTGCAGACCGAGGGGGTGGCAGGGACTGGGAAACCCATGGTTTGGCCATGGAAAACCTCGCAACCAGGGGCAAATCTCTCCAAGTTGAGTGGTTTCCCAAGTGAGATGCCTTCCCTCTGGTGGTTGTTCTCCTGCTTATGGGATTTTTCAAGGGCTGAAAACCTCACAACCAGGGGCAAATCTCTCCAAGTTGAGTGGTTTCCCAAGTGAGATGCCTTCCCTCTGGTGGTTGTTCTCCTGCTTATGGGATTTTTCAAGGGCTGAAAACCTCACAACCAGGGGCAAATCTCTCCAAGTTGAGTGGTTTCCCAAGTGAGATACCTTCCCTCTGGTGGTTGTTCACCTGCTTATGGGATTTTTCAAGGGCTGTGACCCCCTCGTTACTGCGGTGGCTTTTGGGGAGCGGGAGGTGAGATGCTGCCCTGCACAACCCATGGTGCACGCTCGCTGAGCCCCGCTTTCCCCCGACACACAGCTGTGGGGGGACCTTTGCTGGGGGGTTTGCTTGGCTTTGAGGTGGGGACATTCCTCCCTGCCAGAAAAGCTGCTTGGTGGCCGCTCTTTGGTGGTGCTCCATAAATGCTGGGTCCCATGCAGCAGAGCCCAGGGAGGTCCAGGGACAGGTGAGGAAGCAGAGAGAGGGCAGAGGGAGGAAGGACCTGGAGGAGCCACCTGGGCTGAGGAGCTCTTGTACAACAGTAGGGCAACAAAGATGATTCAAGGATTGGAGCATCTCACTTATGAGGAGAGACTGAGAGAGCTGGGACTCTTTAGTCTGGAGAAGAGAAGGCTGAGGGGAGACCTTATCAATGCCTACAAGTATCTCAAGGGAGGGTTGAAGGAGGAGGGAGCCAGACTCTTTTCAGTGGTTCCCAGGGAGAGGACGAGGGGCAACGGGCACAAGTTGGAACATAAGAGGTTCCACTCAAATATGAGGAGAAACTTCTTCACGGGGAGGGTGACAGAGCCCTGGAACAGGCTGCCCAGGGAGGGTGTGGAGTCCCCTTCCTTGGAGATTTTCAAGACCCGCCTGGATGCTCCTGAGTAACATGCTCTAGCTCTAGGCAATCCTGCTTCAGCAGGAGAGTTGGACTAGATGATCTCTATTGTCCCTTCCAACTCTAAAATTCAGTGAAATTCAGTGAAACAGCAAAAAATCAGGAATTACAGGAGGAGCTGCTCCTTGCCCCGCTGCTCCGCAGCACATTGGGATTCAGGCAGGGATCTGTGGCATGAAGGTTAAATTTGGAGGGCAGCTACTGTAATTTCTCATATCTTCTTCTGGCTGGCTGCTGCCTCCTCTCCACGTCCTGCGTGCATCCTCTGGGCTGGCAGCTCACCTCCTTCACTTCCAAGTACAGCTCAGCTTCTTCAGCCCCCCGTGCAGACGACTCCCCAGACGTATCACTGTAGTCTTTGCGTGAGAAAGAGAGAGAATGCCCATATTTACCTTTTACTTTAGAGTATTGTTGGGGTCCCGAAGTAATTAATATCTGAGCAGCTCAGCTCCTTGCGTGGCAATCATCACACAAGAGAAAAGTGTTCTTATGAAAAATACAACAAAGCCCTTAAGTCTGCAACACGGCAGCTTTCTTGTAAGAGACACTCCGTGGCAGGATTCTGCAACACAGCAATCAGTCTCGCTTTAATATACAGACCAGGGTAATGTAAGAAATACTTGGAGAGCAGCCACGGCTTTCACGGCAGCTGCTGCTACAGTTTTTGTCAGGATTAAGTTCATTTCAATTATAGAAAGGCTTGTGATCACCTGCTAGGAGGTTTTCAGCAGTTCAGGAGGCCCAGGGTGTGTATACAGCTATATTTAAATACCAAATGCCTGGCATACTCCGGCACCATCCCATTTGCAGAGCACTCTGCAGACACCCCCTAATGAAGTGTTTAAGTATAGATTCCGTCCAACTTTATGGCTTGATAGGAGTGGATTTTTTTAAAAGATCCACATAAATCCTAATTTAATTCGGAGGCAATTTAAAGGAGCTGAGGAGACTGAATAAAACGGACATCATGCTGTGCATCCCTTTGTCACTGCTGCATTGCTCGGGCCATGCCAGAAGAGGGCTAAGCATCGTACCTTCTGGTGCTGCTTCAACCCTTCACTTCATACAATGAAACCGTCACATTCTCTGTCCCGATGCAAGCGCCCAGATGCCCAGGAAAACCTCAAAAGGAAGAATTTTATTTTGCACGGAGGTTGATGGACAACTCAGGCAGGAAAAAGGCTGAGAAACCCACGTGGGAGCCTGGAACCCCTCATGCAACCTCAGGAGGAGAAGAGGAGTGAGGGCAGAAAATGACTGTCGGTGGTCTATGGTAGGAGGATGGGCAGTTTCATGTGGCCCTTCTGGCAGCCAGTGACACCAAAGGTCTCTTCCATGATGCTGCTGGGCCCAAGAAGCCAGGAGCATCTCACCCTCCTGAAAACTGTCCGACGACACTCCAGCCAGTGTGGAAGGGAAGGGGCTTAGGGGGTGGTTCAGGGGGTTAAGTGAGCGTTCAGCACAGCACGTGCCATTTCCCTCCCTGCTCCAACCTGGGTACGACAGGAATTACAGACCTCTGGGGCTCCCAAAGTTTAATCGTAGTCACACTTTGCCCTTCTGTGCCCTCATCTGTGGGAGGTTTGCAGAATGAGCAGCAGATGGTCCCACGAGAGACACCAGTCTCCCTGTCTGACAGCAGAAGAAGGCAGGTATGAAGAGAGGCTGCCATTCACCTCCTGCTTCACCTCCCACTCCCCATCAGGCATCTATAGGGGATGTCACGTTGCAGGGCTGGCCAGCAAGGTCACCACCCTTCCTACCATGCCTATTTTGTCATCATCAGACCCCACAATTGCTGTGAAGGTGGCAAAAAAGGGATAGAAAACAAAGAGGCCAGAGGACTCTGGCAGCTCAGGCAGAAGGAAGGCCTTTTAGGGCAACAACAGCAAGGGCTTGGCAGCAGTGACTTCTGGTGGGAAGGTCTGGCACCTCATCCTCTGATAGCAGTGATGACAGGCAAGCCACAGCTATCATTTGACCCGGGGAATGATGTGGTCTGATTGTCCTTTTAAAAATAAATTAGGAAATGGCTAATGCCAATTTTTAAGAAGTGTCAGAACAACAGAAGCTTCCCAGCACTATCCAAAGTGCTGCCAGAATGTTGTTCTCAAAGGAATTAATTTTGACTAATTAAATATCTCCGCAGAGCTCTCCAAGTATCAAACCCAAACATCAACAAGCAGCACTTTGCAGACTAATCGGAATCAAGCTGGAGATTGGCATGGTGTGCTGAAGTGTTAACAGATGGAGCGGATGGTCACGGTGGAGGAGTGGGAAGACAAACCTCCCTTCCCACCCCTGCCCCAAACGACGCGCTTCATCCCCCGTCTCAGCTCACCCATCTGTTAAATGCATGGAAAATACTTCCCATAGCATGGATTTACCCAGAGGACAAGCGAGCTGTGGTCACGGAGTGGTGCAGCAGAGGCTTCGAGGGAGCTGAGAGCTTTGGGTTTTTCGGATGAGGTTCAGATGAGTGGGGGTAGAAGCCCTGGTGGGATCTGGAGGATTACATCTCGCTCCACACTGCAGCAAGGGGAGTCTCGTTGCTTGCAAACCCTGAGCATTTGTTTGATGTTAGGATGATGGTTGGACTCCATGATCTGAAAGGTCCCTGCCAACCCAGACAATCCTATGATTCCATGATTCACGTTTGCCAGAGGCTGGCTCCAAATCTATCCAAGATGGACCGGAGGGCTGAGCTGCATCCTGGAGGCAGAGGGCTGCCACCAAGTCCTGCCCTGGAGCATCCTCTTCTTGGATTGCTAATTCACACAGAAAATAAACCATTTTTGTTTTCTTCCTGATTCAGTCATTGTCACTGGCTCCTTTTTAAGTCCCTAGGAAGCGGAAGCCTCGTGTTAGAGCCAACTCTGTTGCTGCCCTGAAGTTGTTGTTGTTCTCAACTCCTCCTATTTATCGAAGAACAGCGTGTTTACATCCACAGCCATGTTCTGGCAAGCTGGAGAGATTTTTGACACTTGGAAAGTAGAGCTTTTTAAAATAGTTCTTACCTCCATACCTTCCAATTTAGAAAACCTGGAGTATTCATTACAAATCAGGTTAAACGAAAAGAAGTGGGAAGTAGCAAAGTCTTCAGAAAAGTATAAATAGCCAGTGGAAATTGCCGGTGGGGTTGGTACATGGTATAATGCAGCCATTCAGCACAGGCTCAATTATTTCTCAAACCATTCTGAAAAGCCCACTGCCTTTGCTACCTATTATGAGCATTTACCCTATTTATAGGAGACATGTCTTCATAGTGCAAACCCTGGATGAGATTCCGTGTGGTGGCCACCTGATGCTCCCGGAAAGTCCTCCCTGAGTCACCTGCTGCGTTCTGAGATGTAAACGTGGTGCCTTGGCACAGCAGGGCATCGTCCATGGGCCCGACAGGAGCATCTCACCCTCCTGAAAACTGTCCAATGACCCATCCCTTCCAGCAGACAATAACATAACTCTCAGCCTGGAGAAAAGGAGGCTGAGGGGAGACCTTATTGCTCTCTACAACTCCCTGAAAGGGGGGTGTAGAGAGATGGGGGGCGGTCTCTTCTCTCAAGTCACAGGCGACAGGACGAGAGGAAATGGCCTCAAGTTGCGCCAGGGGAGGTTCAGGCTGGATATTAGGAAAAATTTTTTCCCTGAAAGGGTTATCAGACATTGGAATGGGCTGCCCAGGGAGGTGGTTGAGGCACCATCCCTGGAGGTGTTCAAAAGACGGGTTGATGAAGTGCTGGGAGGTATGGTTTAGTGATGATGCTCCTTGTTTGTTGTCTGGGTGTCTATTTTTGTCAGTCAGGTTGACGGTTGGACAAGATGATCTTTAAGGTCCCTTCCAACCTAGAAGATTCTGTGATTCTGTGATTATTCCAGGTTGGGGGGTTTTATTGGCATTTTTTAGTGGAGTGACAGACACCCCAATGAATTGTTTGTGCGCCAGATGATTTCCATCGACAGGGATAATTTTGCTGCAGCAAGGAAAGAAATAAATTAAAAAATTACCTTTTGTTTTGTGAAGCCGCTGCAAACGACAAAGGATGTAAAGTGTCAGTGCTGTGCACCTATAACCATCTAAAATTTTCTGTTTATAGCCCCTCACGTTCTTACTGGCCTGATCCCCAGAAATGCTGGGTGGTGGCAACAAGTCTCTTGAGGGAGGACGGGGGCTAAAGATGAATTTCAACAGGAGAGGGAGCTCCCTGTGCACCAACGCCTGGGGAAGCACCAGGCGGAGAAAACCTCGGGGGAAAAGCTGTGCTCACCATTTTGTTCCTTGTGTGTTTTCTCAGATGTTTGCAAGAATTTCACAGGCCATTTAACTGCAGTGATTTTGTTTTATATATATAGTAATGCCCTATAAATCTAATACTAAAACAAGCTTCCATGCAAAGTATGTTTTCGTTCCCGTTTTAAGTGCAACAACTTTGCTTTTTTGGAGAACGGGGAGGGGAGAGCACACTTGTCACATCCTTTAGAGGTCTGTAGGTCTTAGAAGTCTGAAATTATATTCCTTTATCATTTCAAGACGTTTACAGAAAGCTGTGCAAGACACGGCCACACTTGGGAAATCTGGAAATTCAGGAAATCTGAATTTCCTATTTAAAAAAAAAAAAAAAAAAAAGGTTAAGATAAGATAAATGTATTGTTGCCCTTTTGACCTAAATAAACTGAGAAATAAAATCAAGGACTTCGAATTTATTTGGAGGGAAGGGAAGGGAAGGGAAGGGAAGGGAAGGGAAGCTGAACGATTAATTTCTTTGACCTAGGTTTCTGCATTTACAAATATACAAAATCTTCATTTTCTGCAGAAGGGGACTCTAACAGCTTGGGCAGTTTCCTTATTCAGAGGTCCTGGCCCAGATCTTGCTCAGTTTTTTCAGCATCGTACATAATTTTTTGTGCAGGGTGTTCTGGAACCTGCTTATTCTCTCTCTCACTTCATACTTTTCAGTTTGTCTTGCTCTCTTCTGTGCCTGGGGCAAAACACCGACCATCCACACATCCAGGCACACGCTCCCAAAGCAGGAATCCACTTGCCCAGGCTGTCTGCCATTGCCGTTTTGGGGGCAGGGGGATGGCTTTGTGCCCAAAAGCTAGAGCTTAGGGATGAGTCTAACACCCCCAGCAGCGCGACACTGGGAGCAATTCTGCATCTCCCAGGGAAGCAAAATGCTCTTTTTTTTTTTCTTTCTTTTTTTTTTTTTTTCCTTCTGGGAGTTTTTTCCTGAATTCCTGGTGTTGGTTTTTTTTTTAGCCTGAATTCCCGGGTTGGGTTTTTTTCGCCCCAATCTCACGGTCCCCCATCCCGGGCCACGAGGTGGCGGCAGCCGCCGGTTTCCAGCGGGGCGGCAGCCTCCGCCTTCCGATATCCTCCTATATTGGAGAATATATGCATATATATGTGTGTGTGTGTGTATATATATATATTTATGGTCCAATATCCTCCCTGAGGTTCCTCCGCAGCACATTATAGCCGGGTGGGATCAGGCACAGGGGGGGTTTGGGAGGGAAAAAGGGATTTCACCCCAGCGTCACCGATAAGGGAAATATTATCAAGAACTGGGGGGTATTGGGGTGATTTGGGGTTTGATTGAGCAGGCTCGGGGTTGAAGGACCCCTGGCTGCTCCTGCCGGGTGGTAAAATAGGTCTCTCCTGCTTCTTGTCCGCTGGGATCCCTAAAGGGACCTGTGGGAGTTTAGTTCTATTTCCTCTCCTGGTTTGCGCTTCATTTCATCCTGTCCATTTGATTATCAGACATAGTTTAATTCTCCTGGCTGTTAACACAAGGAGCAAGTATGGCAGATGAGCAGCCCTTTCCTTTGCCTTCCTAATTACCACCTTTTTCTTTTTTTTCCCCCTTTGCAATCAGAATGTCTTAACTCACAAGTGAGAATTCCTTTCCAATTTACTGCTACGGACAAAGCAGTGCCTGGCAAAGATTTGTTTCCCTTTTGCACACTGTGCTGGTTTTGGCTGGATTTCAAGTCTGAATATAAATATATATATATGTAGGTATATAGATGTTTATGCACTATTTTGGGTGGGTCTAGACAGAAAGCACAGACAAACAGATATTCTGTTTTCTCTTTTACAAGGGCTTTATCTTCAGCTCAGAACAGAAGATATTTAAGTCTGTTGGTATCAATTTGATTAAGAACACGGAACATTTTTCATTATTTCCTTTTTTTGTTGTTTGTTTCTTCTCAGCTGGGATATTCTTAAGCACCAGGAAATTACGCAATCAAAATGCCTGTGTAACTCACAATTGCAACAACTCGTAATTGCAACAGCCTTTGGAGTCAGCTTACCCCTGACTGCTGAAATAGTTTTATTCGCTGATAGAATATTTCTGTATTTAAAGAAGGAAGCCTGTGGTACCTACCTTTAAAGCCCTGGCTTAGGCTTCAGTCTCATGAAGAGATGGGGAAACCCTAGGGTTTGTTTTGTTTCTCAGCCTCAGAGAGCCATGTTCACCTCCCAGCTTTGGTCACCAAGTTCTTGGCAGAGTCACGACACTCCAGGACTGATTTAATCTCACTGTATTTCATAGTCACTTCCATGAGGCACACGGGGGACCTCAGCGTTTCACAGTGACAACAGGACTGAGATGGGGACCTCCCTGTGCAAATCTCCCTCAGCCAGCAGCAGAGGTGGGTCTTGGGGCTAGAGCAGTCCCAGACCCACCTAGAAGGAACCGGGGCCAGTGTCCCACGTATTAACCACTTCCTGGCCAACCCCTCTCTCCACCAGATTCCAAAGGAACATGTGCAAGACCTGCATTTATGCACCCAGAGGAGATGGTGAGGAGACACCACGCATCTCACGGTAGGTCAGGCTCCAGCCGTGTGTCGGGCAGCACCGTGCCTTTCTCTTGAATGGCAGCTTTAAGAGAAGCTGGACAGCAGGGCTGAAAATTGATGCGACTCTCTCAGCAGGTCAGTGGTCTCATTAGGTACATATTTAACAGGAGTAAATTCCAGCACTGAGCCAAACCACAGCATTGGAGGTGAAGTCGGAGTCCCCGTGAAACCCAGTGTCCTCCAAGCACTGCTTTAATCTCTCACCTGCCTCTGGTATTTACATTCATTTCTTCATTAAAGGAATTTTATTTACCCAGGGCAATGTGTCATTTCCCTCAGGGGAGCTCAAATTCAAACCAGGTGCAAGTCACGGCAGCGCTTTGCCCAATGACCCACCACCCTGCACTTGATGACACAGGGACAACTGTAGTTCCACGGTGGAGGAGGAGAAGTCGTGGTGCTACCAGGGCTGGTATTTACCAGCATAGCCCACGCTACCAGCAGGACGTGGGGATAAGGCTGGGATACCAACGTTCAACCCAGCCTGCTGAGGGACCTCCCCATCTTCTAATGACCTTGCAATGGAGGACATCAGACAAAATACCAGTTACCCCCTTCCAAGGGCTCTCAGGGGTGCTAGGCTGGCGTGATGTGTGTCCTGCAAAGGAATATACATCCTTTAACATATTCCTCCAGATCTGGCGTGATGTGTCTCCTGCAAAGCAATATACATCCTTTAACATATTCCTCCAGATTTACACCATAAAGCAGACAACTGGGACACGGTTCTCCATGATCAGGAAGTAAAGCCTCATTTCCTGCGAATCTGTGTCCTGTACTACTGCAAAAATCCTGGCTCCCTCCCCGTGTCTCCCGTCACACCCACACCAAGCCGAGAGTACGTGCTGTGATGACATGCACACTAATTAGCAGGCTAAAATGCACGTGCAGCCTGCCCGGGCAGCTGCCACCGAGTGGGATGGCAGATGGTCACTCTCACAGCCTTCCCACCCCGAGCTCCAGCGTCTGGAGGTCAGGGGGGGGAAGGGGTTTTCAGGAGGCATCTTTGGTTCTTCTACGTGTCTTCTTTCCAGTGTGGTTGGATTGGGCAGCAGAGCTCAAAGCATTGTAGAAGGCACCGCCGCCGGATCCTGCAGCACAGCATTCCTATAGGAAAGGGGGATAGCTGGGCTGGGATGAGTTGAGGTGGCTGCTGTCTCATGTCACTCCACAAAATCTCCACCTGAAACATCTCCATCTCTTAAACATTCTCAGCAAGTCTGGAGCTGCAGATGTTGCCACACTAGAACAAGCTCCTGTTGGCTGGAGCTGGTAGCAGTTTCCAGACTTTGCCTTTTCTGGGGAAAACAGAAATACATGCTGGAGTTAGAAAATGTATCAATATTGAAAGCAGAAGTGGGGTAGCTTCTTTGTAAGAGTGGAAGTGTTGGTAGGATCCCTCCTACAGTTCATCTTCCTATAGTTCCTCTATGTCTAGCTGCCCCCTTAGATGGTTGTCTACTCGGGCGTTAAGGCAATGCAGGGGAAGCTCTAGGTTCTTCCTCTTCCCCTGCTGATTTTGCA